ATGATGATGCCACGCAGTGAAGCAGACAGCTAACCTGCTCAAAATTGAAATAAAGGGCTTTAAACACAAGAAAAAAACTTCATGTAAAAATCAGTAGTGTTGACTAGCCTCCTAACAGGAAAACACCAAGGAAGTTGAATGTAGACATTTAATAGTTGTAATACCTTTTCCCCAGGTTTAATATCACAATTGATCTGTTTAAGTACAAGAGGCAACCCTTCCCTATATCTCAAGTCAAACTCTTCTATAACAACACCACCAGTGTTAGGCCAGTCATCTGGGGGTCGATTATCTGGTTTAATCCACTCAGCCTATTTGAAAGAAAATCAAATACTTTGTTTTTAATCAAGCAGTTTTTAATTACTTTGCATTGCTAAGACAATGAGCCAATGAGAACGGAAAAATCATGACTTGGTCACAGAGCATTTGCTGCAAGGTTCTGATTGACCACCTTGCTTTTCAGCAAATTTTTAGATTGGTCAATGTAATCATCTTAGCTTTTGGTTCAACGACACCAAAATTAGAAAAAAATGATTAATAAGTTAACTCAAGTTTGGAAACTAAGTGGTATTCTTATTAACCTCTGACGGCATCTATGGAACGAAAGGACAAATTGTTACAATTCGGACGCCTCTAAAGCCCGCAAACCGAGAGCTATTAATTAACCACTAACGTCCAATAATAACTATGAAAGGCAATTATTGTGCAAGTAAGATAATTAGTGACACCGTGTATTCAAAATTGTTTGTTAGAGATTTTTAAAACATAAGGGGGTTATCCAGTTCACTTTATGCTGTTTAAACCATTTAATGAGATAGTTCAGTCTGACTTATTTTAAGTAGGGACAAAAGTCAAAACCCAAACAATTGGATATAGAAGGAAGGAATAAGATAAGTATACATTTAGCATAAAAATGTAATGAAATAATTTTCGGTTTACCTCTGTATCTATTACCGAATACTCTTTTACTCTTTCAACAGAAACAAGCTCGGTTTCCAATAAGCTTGTCATAAGAACCAACATGTTGAGAACCTCTGTTGTCTAAAAAAAGAAGTAAAAATTATCCTTTTTATAACGTTGGAATTTTCCACGAACTTAAAAGCATTATTAGTTCCTGCTGAACAGCCTGAATACTACAACTGGGGAGCTTACACAAAAAACGTATTACGAGCTGAATTCCTAGTATTGCAATACTCCGATTGCAGAAAAAAACGGAAGTTGTAAGGAAGTGAGGCTTAATAGCCCTCGCGGCAAATTTAAAAGAACCAACATGGCGGACGATCAAGTCGATCTTACTCCAGAGGTCGACATTCCTGGAGCTGGCTTTATTGAAAAAGAGATAGAAAAATTGACCATTGCTCAACCAAAGCTTTGGTTAAAATGCCTCTGCATAAATCAAAATTGTAATAACAAGAACTGTTGGAAAGGTAGATGCACATCACCCGGCTTCGCGCAATCGATCAGCTGTTTTATACGCTGTTTATTTTCAACTACAAGTAGTTGACATGGTGGTTTAGACACTTGTTTTCATACAAAATTTGCTTTCTCAGGGTCTAGAACCTGCAAGCAATGAAAATCTAAAAATATATGACCCTGACCCAGAGAGGATCTTCACTATATAAAGCAAAGTTAGAGAGACAGATTGAAGAACTGAGGGACAATGGGGAAAACGCGAGTGATGCAGCAAACCACTTCAAGAACTTTCCCACCGTTGATTCCGCATTTGGTGATGATTTTACCGTCCTTCCCAAGTTCGTTCTGACTGAGACATTAGAACACCTAAATAACAGTGGAAAGAACACCAGGAAATCTGCTGATGCCGTTGCCGAGTTGGTAAGTGCTCAGAATGCTCTCATTTGTTCACGACCTCCAAGTGTTTGCGAGTCCAAATTCCGAGGATGATGTTATTTACCTTAGAGCGCTTCGCTGGGCCTCCTACAGGAAATATGTATAAAACCAAAGTCAAAATGGGATAGTTCAGAGGAACGGTAAACCCAGAATTCTAGCTGCCGAGTGTGACAAAATATGCCCAGCCGGAAAAAGTTATTGTTGCTGCCATGTGATGGTGGTAATCTGTAAACTGGATGACATATCCAGAAACAAGAACGTTCAACTCACTGATAACCGTATCTTTACCTCAAACCTAGAAAATGGGGAATACCAGGAAAGAGGATTGTACAACAAAAGCTAATCATGACAGAGAGACTTTTTAAACCCCGCCGTTCCTCCGACATCCAAGGAAGAAAGGTGTGTATCCCAGGCTGTTTGATCCAAGACTATCAAAATCGCGTAAGTTAAACCTAGAATCAGTTGAAAGATTGAAACAAAATTTTCAAAACGTAAATCCTGCTGTTCGATTTTTCGAAAATAATCCCTGATGCGTATCGTATCAAGTTACTTGACACAATAGTTGGACGGAAGTTGCGTATGCCGGGTTCTGATACAAATCTGATTGTTTGTGCTAAGTTAAAAACCATACCTATATAGGCATCTCTGAGCCTGGGGTAAGCTAACTCATATGATATGATATATTTATCAGATTTCCTATAGGAGGCCCAGTAAAGCATTCTAAGGTAAATAACATCATCCACCAAAAGTGAGAGCATTCTGAGCCCTTTAGAACTTGCAAACTTTGCAACGACATCAGTAGACTGGTGTTCTTTCCACAGTACTTTAGATGTTCTAATGTATCAGTCGGAACGAACGTGGAAAGGAAGGCAAAGTAATCACCAAATGCTGAATCAAAGGTGGGAAGTTCTCGAACTGGTTTGCTGCATCACTCGCGGTTTCCCATTTCCCTCAGTTCTTCATTGTCTCGCTGACTTTGCTTTAGTGAAGCTCCTCACTGGGTCAGTAGGTTTTTGACCCTGAGAAGGCAAGTTATGTATGAAAACACGTGTCTAAACCGCCATGTACACTTGTAGTTAAAAAAAAACAACATAAAGAGCTGATCGATCGCGCGAAGCTGGATGATGTACACCTATCCAACAGTTCCATGTTACTGCCATTTTGATTGATAGAGAGGCATTTTAACCAAAAGGTTACTTGAGCAACGGTCAATTTTCCCATCTCTTCTTGACTAAAGCCAGCACCAGGAATGTCCCCTGGAGTAACTCTGTAAGATCAACTTGATCAGGCGCCATGTTAGTTCTTTTAAATTTGCCGCGAGGGCTATTAAGCCTCACTTCCATGAAACTTCCGTTTTTTTCTGGAATCGGAGTAATCACACAAAAGGAATTAAATGCATTCTCAAGTCCTGTAACTTACAAACTACAAAATGATTAATCAGATGAAAGGTATGAGCTATAAATCTGACGATAATTTATTGAAACTTTTAACAGAAGAAAATATGCCCAATTTTCTTGTTAACGAAATATATTTTGCTTACCTCTAAAGAAAACGTTAATGACATGCCCACTAATGCACTGAAGATTGAATCTCTGCTAACAACAGCAAACAATGCCGCAAACAATGTTAAGAAGCCCCCAATAAAATGTAGACGAACAGGAAGCCAACTGTGGAGAAACGTTTAAGCTTTAAGTGATCTGACCTTAATCGCAAACCCGGGTAGTTAAAAACATGTTGAGAACCAACTTAAAGGTTATGCCTCTCACCACCACTTTACCCTCAAACCCACCCTCCCTAAATTTGATTTTTCTGTTTAATGCTCCTTACTTGAACAAAGCGCATTTTGTCCGGGGGGGTACTCCCTATAATGGCCTGAGGCTCCGCCCGAAAGGGGTACCTTTTTCAGGCCTCAGGTATATGAAAGGGTAGGAAGTATACGAAAGGGTAGGGAAATCTGCCATTTGGGTCTGTGAAAGGGCCCAAAGGGCTAAAAAATGAATTTTATGGTTTTATAAATTCGAGAAAACGTTCTATTTGTGTGATTGATTCCTAATTGAAAGACAGCAGTTAGAAGAGATGCAAATTTCTAAACAAGGTATGTGGAAGGGGTACCATTTGTCAATAGAAGGTAATACGAAAGGGGTAGCTATTTCGTGAAAAATGGTATATAAAAGGGTGAGGGGTTGGACCTTGGGGCGGAGCCTCCCCGCATGAAAATTTGTTGAGTACACGCGCGATTTTGTCACAGTTGGAAAATCGCACAAATTAGCTGAATGTAAACTAAACTGTTTGAGGTAGAGGAAACTGAAAACCCTCAGAGGACCTTACATTGTTGAGCTAATTTGAAAAAAATAGCTCATATGTCAGTGGTGTGAGCGTATGTATCTTTGTGGCTTTGTAGCTTTGTATGTTTGGATGTTTGTTGCAGGGGCCAATAAGGTTGAACGTACTATGAGTTGATACGTAGGAACCAATGAGATTTTGGCGTCTAAGCGTTAATGACATTGCTTAAGGTCAAACAAGGGCACTTAGAGACCGCCATCGTGATTCTTCACAATTTTTACGTCTTTTATTACGGCTAAAAGTGAAGTATAACATTGAGATATCTTCATGATCCAAACGCTGAGTACAGTGATACAGCTGTTGACGGGTCCATATCTTGGTGTAGGTGCTGCTTCAAGACATTTGGCCTAATTCGGCTACAGCGAACGGTACAACGCATGTATTTCATAGTTTATGAGTTCTGTTTCACCTGCTTTAACGTAGAGTATAAAAGATCATATATTTTTCAAAGTTCTTCCAATGAAACAATAATTGAAATTTAAATATGGAAGATTGCGGCCTATAAATTGTTGTTTTAGAAGTCTGAAAGTCAAGGCGAGTATTGTTAATCCCGTAAACAAGCTTTATTCTCTCGCTTACAAAGTTCAACAGACCTTTTTCGTACCGAAAAAAAAAATGAATTAGGTGAGGAACATACGATACATGCTTACTGCTTGAGGGTTGTTATAGTTATGAAAACGTACTTTATTTTATTAGTAAAGATGCGTAACTTTAGTCGAAACGGTAGCGGTCAGGGAATTAAATTGGAAGAAGGTAGTTGACAAAACAATTACATATTGTTTTATTGAGTGGAACAACATGATATGAGTAGACATATATGTCGGCAGTTTGATAATTTTCTTGGAAGTTAATAAATGTTAGGCTATCAACCTTGACGTTGCATAAAGCATAATTTAATTGCAGATGTTGTAATGAAGCCCAGGTGATTTTTTAAAATCGGTGGAGAAAAATTCCTAGTAAACAATTTACGTTTTGCGAATTGTAAAAGGGCCAAAGTCCAACATCTTCACGAGCAAATTGTGTGTATGAGTGATTTTATAATTCTGTTTACTAGATTATTACTAGTGTGATAACTCGAATTCCCTCACGTACGAACCATGAAAGGAACAAAGTCAGACACTTTCACGTGCAAACTGTGTGATTCTACACTGCATGAGATCTTAACATGAGATCATCTCATGCAGACTGGCTTTTCACAGTAATAATAGTAACTTGAACGTATGAAGAAATGTTTAGTTTTGTAACTTGTGCCTAAGCAAAGGCTCTTTTCTCTTAAGAGGCAACAACTTATAACTCTTTTAGAATTAAGTCGTTAGAGTTAAAGACTGTTTCACTGAAGTAGAATTGCACGTGACAACCTAGTGAATAATGATGATGCAACAATCTACGACAATGATGAAAATAATGATATTTCTCAACTTAACCGGTCTTCGACGAGCTTCATTATTTTAAGAAACCTTGACACCTTCGAGTCTTCCCTGTAAGCAACGTTTGGTTAGTTGATATTCATAGGACTTGAACAATTTGTTTATTTTGCACCAGATGTCTGAAGGAAAGACAAAGAAAAGTGAATCTGTAGTATGAGGAACGAATCAGCTATGCGCAGCGGTTGTCGTTTTCATTAACGTACAGCAATACGCAATTTCGCACAAAACATAGCCTTAATTTCGGATTAAAACAGTAGATTGCCGATACTGTTACAGTGAAGCATTCAAAAAAGCTCATGCACGTAAAACGTGCCTATGTTTACCTTACCTGTTGGAAGCTATAGATAAATAGTAAGCAACTTGATTTTCATCTGTTCTGTGATAATTATCCCGGATGAACCGCCGCTGTTGTGAAAATGCCCGGATGGTGGATGCACCGTTGATTGTCTCTAAGAAGTGACTGTAGATCGGTGAACGCCTCACTGATTCAATTCTTTTTAGTTGCCTTGAAGAAGCCACAAAAACTTTCTGCGGGAAATAATAAAACGGAGGCAAATATATAACTTTTATAGGGCATGTACTAAAAACCGAAATGAAATTGTCAAAAGAAACGAAACGACCGAAACGACCGAAACGGTCACCGAGCGAACAAACGAAATCACCGAACTTGAACAAAATTTTGTATAATTGTATATAGTTGAACTTGTTAATACGACCACCGTTGGGCCATAAAATCCTGGTCGTACATTTACCTGTAGAATTTTGTATATTCTTTCAAACCAAAAGTATAATTTCAGTATATAGAAAATAATAAAATGAGTAATTTTTTTACTTTTGGTTTGAAAGAATATGGCTATTATCATGGTCCTGACTGAATGCAGTAATTATCATGGTCCTGACTGAATGCAGTAACACAAGCTACTAAATGGGCTAACTTAGAGTTTCAAAGGTCCATCTCTCCCCAATCACAAACTCCGTTTTCGTAATCCCTCCATACCCTTCCATTCATATGGTTTTCAATGCTCTTGCAAAGGAACAAGGGCTCTGCGTATGAAAAAAGAGACTTTTTCATGGAACAAAAAATATATGAATTTAGTCTTCTAGTATCGGATGCAGTGAGACATCACAGTTGCCTTCTCTTAAAAAAAACGCCGAAAAAATTTTTACCTGAAAGTAAAAATAGAGCGCTCCAAGAAGCGGTAATACCAACAAAAAGAGCGGAGTAGTATAACCAATCGCTACGATTATTCCAAACATGTCCAACAGAACCGACAAAAACAGCGACCAAATTTGATATAAACCCTCATCAATGACGTCCATGTCGTTGGAAAATCTGTTCACAATTCTCCCAAGAGGTGTTGTATCAAAGAAGCTCATTGGAGCCCGCATGATGTTTTCTAGAAGTTTATTGTGTAACCTGCGAAGAGCGAGAACAAAACATAAGTGAAATTAACTTAAGAAGGCCGTATGGCCCCTTTATATGGAAGAAAACCAGGTCAACCACGGGTAGGGTCAACCTCCGAGCCGACCCCTTTGCCCGAGCCAACAGCGCTCGCGCATGCTCTGATTGTCTCGACTAGGCGAGTTAACAGGTCACGCTTTGGTGTTGGAAGGGACACCCTCCTAGCGGGACCAACTATTCTCTGCCATATAAACACTTTGGATCGCCCAGCTGGATCAACTGGGTTAAGGCGAGACAATTAGAGCATGCGCGAGCACTGATGGCTCGGGCAAAGGGGTCGAAGTTTTTTTCTTATATTAACGCTCCCTTATACACTTGAACCTCCATTAAGCGGCCACCCTCGGGGCACCGGCAAGTGGCCGCTTCATGGAGGTTGGCCGGTCAATAGAGGTTTGTCATAAACTAGTATAATCTTTAGCGGAGACATCACTTTATTTTGGAACAAACACGCGAAGGGAGCAGCATTACTGGTCCACAATCAGTCAACATCTTCTACCCTGGACTGTATTTTCCTTCATCGTATTCTTGAAATAATGCCAAACTAAGTGTATCAAGCGCTTGATGGCCGCTTAATAGAGATGACAACAATGGGAGAACTCTCGTTGGGACGGCTAAAAGGTGGCCGCGGACGCAGTTGATAGGGGTTTAAGTTACCATTCTTTTCTACAATTATTTCGGGACTTTGAATACTGGCCGCTTAAAAGAGAGGGTAGCCGCGTAATAGGTAGCCGCTTAATGGAGGTTCAACTGGGGTGGGGGTGACCCCGCTCGGATAGCTTCGCTCGCCGATATTTTTCTTATTTGACCGCGTTTTTTTGCCTTTTTCCCCCACTGCGGAGCCTGGTCTCAGGTTAGGCAAATGTACGCGATTTTCCTGGAGTTATCAGTTCTTTTAATCTGAAAAAAAGGGCTGTAACCAAATTCAAAATAGAAAAGAGAGTTCGTCGTCGTGTGTTCACGTCCTCCATGAAACGTGAAATAAATGAGAAACTCTCACGTCGTAGAAGTCATGCAGTGGACGTCAAAGAACTGTACCAAAAAGTGTGATGCACGTGCAGCGCTTCTCTTTTTCTCATAGGGGCTTTTTACGTGGAGGGAGAAAGATCCCAGCACCAGAAAGACCCTAGAAAGCAGAACAACTTTTCATTATGTTTACAAGCAGAAATTTCATCGTTGATCGTGATCGTCTTTCAACTCATCCGCACGTACATTGTATTCCTTCCTTTCAGCTAGGAAGAATCCTATTTCTAGGAACTGAGGAAGATTTGCCGAGCGCTAGTGTAAAGCACAACCTTTTCCATGTCAAATGAATATAGAAAATATACAGCGCTGAGTCAAATGCGTGTTTTTCGTCACGTGATGACCAGAATTTCCAAACACTACCGAACGTTGCCAAAAATGTCCAAAGATGTTCCGACGACCTTTGAGCACTTCAAGCTGTTTCAATGGCGAGATTTTAGAGTGTTGGGATAAAGCTAATCTCCGTCATTAATAATGTGTTAAAGGACACATGAACGTCCGGATTTGTGGGTCAAGCGTGAGAGACTGTCCTTGATGCGTGAACAGGCGTGAGATCTATATCTTTAGCCCGCAAGCGTGAAACTCACGCATAATGCGTGAGAGTTTGCAGGTATACGGCGGCTAGGATGATCCTTCTTCTAGGATCTACCTTCCTCAATGTAAACAGCCCCATAAAACCCAATCATTATTGGCCTGCCGAGGCAGTCGCCGTCGTGGTTGCTTATGCTCCCTATTAGCCATCTTTTTCTCCTAAAGGCAGGCAAAATCCAACTTTAAGAAATATCTCAAATTCCATTTTGGAGGATATCAAAACACCGATGCAGCGAGATCCCATTTTGCGACCAGCATGCAGGTTCTAACGTGACGAGTATTAATACTTAAAGCCTAGAAAACAAAACCAACCTTCGTGAGGCACGCTGTGCTCCAACAACAATCAATGTAAACGTCAGAACGGAGAATAGTACTTGACCAAGTGTGATTCCACCATAGACGCCGACATAAAAATTTCTTGGATCATTTGTCGGTTTAGTTTCAATGATCCAGTAAGCTAGCCAAAACCTAGTGCTAACTTTGCAAGCTTCCATTAGCAAAGCAAAGATTATAGTAGCCACCGTGATACAGATACCCATGGACTTTAGATAAGAAAGCAAAACGGAAAATTTCACCTAAAACAACAACAATAAAAAGATGTTGATGTTCTATAGAGGTTTTCCTAATAACTGTTTACTAAGAGTAAATTTAGGTTTCACGCTCATGAGATGACGTTTCACTGATGTTCTTTTTGTGACATTTCTTGGTACACGAGATACTGACCGTGATCCCAATGCGTGTCTGTAAAACACCAATTTGAGGTCTGCGGGTCAGGGTCCATTGTTCTTTTGTTACATTTTCTGTTTCATGTTTTATTTAGAAGAAAACAACAGACGACCCCGACCCCTACCCAACCCCTCCCCGCCTCCCTACCCCGACCCCAAGTCAACGTTATACTGACACCCCAACCCAATGGTATACGTAATGATAAGCAACCTCGTCTCCAGGGCTTTTCTCTTACAAAATGGGAGGGGCGCTGTCACAGTGATAAGTGCATCCCCATTCCCAAAACCCTAATGATATGGGCATCCCCCGTAACCCTAACCCAAATCGCTAAGGTAATATGAGAAGGGGATGCCCGAGAAGGGTTTTGGGAATGGTTATGTCCAAAACGCGAGGATGCCCACATCATTGTAACAGCGCACCTCCAATTTTTTAGGGAAAAGACCTGGGGACAAGGTTGACTGATGAGGTCAAATGTTGTAGTCTTTCACGTGACCTTACCCTTCCAGTCTCCGATATCTCTTTGTCAATAATTTTTCCTTTTTCTTCTTCATCCGGTTTTCGTAAATCCTTAACTGCATCAACATTAGCAGAGGTGGAAGTCCTGGCGGCGTCTCTGCTAATGGACCTCTCGAGCTGTCCTGTCGAAAAATATGAAACTTCAATTAATTGCATACACAAAACAAACTGGAAAATCATGAAAAAAGTTTGAAGGACACAATAAGTCTCTTTTCGGCAAGCCTCTCGTATATTCAAGAACCAGTATGCAGGTTATTCTTGTAATTTCTCAAACGCACGAACTTTAGCGAAACAGACCCCTTAAGAAATTATTAGACTGCATGGTTAAATTACTAGGACTTGTTAAAGTAACTCGAATGCCCCTCGTGCCATGGCGAGTACCTGTTGTATCGAGACGATTTCTATAGATTCCAAGGTCAGGGAGGCACCGAAGCCGAGCGTTTGGCACCTTGGAATTCGAGCCCTGTTCCAAGGTGGATTTGTTTCTAGGTGGCCTCGAATTCACCTTCTCGGCCATGCGTTAGAATACAAGCTAGCCCAATGATAACCCCCTACCAGAATGGAACTTTGTCCTCTTATATGTTATAAACTGTTTCAAACAAGTAATAAACATGAAACCAGTAAATTAGCTAAAAAGCCTAGACCACTTCCACCACAAACAAAACATTGAGTTAACTAGCGGAAGCTCACGTTGAAAGCGCTTAATGCAATGACTTTAAAATAAAGGGGACTAAAAGCGCTGCCAAGACGGTACACGTTTAACTTTGGCAAGAAAGGCCAAAAGACGTTCGTCTAGAGTGTGGGCATAATCACATGCACACTGTGTCCGCTTTTTAAAACCCAATTATAACTCTGGAACTGCATCAGGCAATGATGCAGTTTTAAAAATACCTTTCATCTGTGTATGGTTAAATGGTACTTCTCTGAAACTATCTGACCATGTATAAAACGTGAAAAACAAGATGGTGAGAATTGATGTCACTCTAAAGGATCAGTAACTCATCACTTAATTACCTGAAGAGTTTGGGGAATGGTTTTCTGATGCGTAAGTATGTAGAAATTCAGCAAATGCCCCCGAGTTAGCTAACAACTCAGAGTAAGTCCCGCACTGAAAAAATAAATTTAAAACAGCAGTTAAAATACCGTTTTTAGCCTGCGTAGAAAGCGTTTTCCATGCGTCGTTCGCCTGAGAAAGTTTGAAAGAGAACTCTGGTTCCCCACTTTCTCAACAAACCTGTCTGGAAACGCTTACTACGTAGGCTACTTTATTTTAAATTTGCAGCAATTGCTCCACACCAGTTTTTAGCAGCTAAAAGACTTTTAAACAAATACCATATAAAATTGACCAACTTTATCTCTTTAATTGTTTTTACTAAAGCAGAACAATATTTACGATCGTTTAGGTCTTTTTGGCGTAGGCAAAACCCGTAAACGAACACGTTTGCATATGCATTAAACTTAAAATTTAAACATATACCTGTGGACAAGGTGTAAAGATGTCCGATTTTTTCAAGAACTACCCTTGGAAAAGTCAATAAAGAAGAAGAAAATGCTTATGCTTAACTTTACAGTACTGTTACGGGGCCCGCATAGCACGCATTTCCGCGCGAGTTCGTTGAGAACATTGGAACGAAAGCGAGAAACGAAGAGCCTTCATCCGCTTTTTTTTTACTACAGCACTATCAGATTCTTTCTCGACATAACTTTTTGCGGGCAAAGGGGAAAGGTAATGTAACGTCGAACAAACCTCTGAAATCCTTCCATCGTCAATGACGATTATTTGATCAACTTGAGGTAAGAAGTGAACTCCATGAGTCACAAGCAAACGAGTCTACAAAGATAAACAGTAATCAGTGTTAACTACATAATACCATAAGTTACAAACAAGCGAGTCTACAAAGATAAACAGTAATCAGTAACGTTAATTACATAATACCAAGAGTTACAAGCAAGCGAGTCTACAAAGATAAACAGCAATCCGTAAAGTTTACAATAACAATAACCATAAGTTACAAGCAAAGAAACTCATCAGTGTTAGATGGTGATAAACATAGCATGAGCTGGGGATAAACAGAATCAATTTAGTTACCGGGCCATAAGTTACAAGATCCCTACAAAGATAAAAGGTCCATCAGTGTTAGACGGGGCTGGAAATTTCCCTTGCAATGACGCTCGCCGGGCAAGCCCCACGGACCAAATCAGCAACAGGAAAGCTCATGCGCTCTGTTTCTGATCTCTCAGTAAATACGACGGCTCCGGGCTTGCTCAATTAATGGAATACCTGGACAAAAGTCACCTCAGCAAACCGAGCTCGCCCCACCCCTTGTATTTGGCCCCTAAACAGAAAGCGACCTAAAGGTGCGTTCCTTTGAGATGATACGGATCAGGATTAGGTATGGTGAGATCATGGTAGATCAAATGAACTGATGAATCCACTCTGGAAAAGGATTAATCGGTTCATTTGATCTAACACGATACGAGTGATGTCGGATCACTGATCCTGATCCCGATCATCCAAAAGGAGCGTACCCTAGTACCGCGAGTGTTCCATAAGTGCCTCATTATTCTCCAAAATAACAATCAATGGCTCAGGCGAAGAAGACAATTCAGACCTTTAGTTCTAAGACAAGGACCACTACGCGGACGACATTTTCTCAAATACTAAGTAGTGCGCGCATGAATCAGCGCCATTTGGCGGGAAAACGCAATAGCCGTCGTCATTCTAGTACGGGTTTAAACGAGAATATCGCAGTGGCGGAAAAAAGTTATCAAATGTTAGAAGTTTTACTGATCATTTTACGATGCGGAGAAGGCTTAACCTCCTTCAGCAAAAATAACCATGTTAACTTTTCTAGTGAAAAAAGGGTAGAATGAATTTTTTGGTGAATACGCGAAAAAACTTTGAGACAAACCTCGTCCTCGAATCTAACGGTTTCTTATGTTACCTTTGCGCTGTATATAGCTGCTAAACTGCACAGAAATGAATTGACAGCTAAAGAAACTAACCTTATTTTTTAGGATTCCTCTGGGACCAACAACTTTATCAAAGATGTGTTTCCCAACATGTGTATCTACTGCACTTAGAGGATCGTCCAACAAGTAGATATCAGCATTAAAGTAAACAGCGCGGGCTAAACTCACGCGCTGCTTCTGTCCACCGCTCAGGTTAATACCCTACAATAAAAATGTTTTCAAAAGAAATCAAAGACGTTATCAGTAAATAGTCCGCATTGCTTTGCATTTTCATTGGCTAAACTTTCCCGCCACTTTCTTAACCAATCAAGATCACGACAAAAGACAATAACTTTGACTTGCTTGCATGTGTATTTCTCGCCCTTTTTGTAGGCAAATATGAGCGTCTTCGTCTTGCACAGTGACTGGAAAGTCACAAGATCTCTGCAAGCACTTTAACACAAGTTTCCGTTAAAATAAATGCTTTTTAATCTAAGGGTATAGTGACAATCACGTCGAAATATCTGTAGACATACTCTTTCCCCAATTTCTGTAGAGTCACCCGCTTGAAGAATGTCCAGATCTGGTCTTAAAGCGCATGAGTCAATCACTTGTTCATAGCGAGTGGAATCGTATGCTTTTCCAAATAAGATGTTTTCTCGCACGGTGTTGTGCTGAATCCACGCTTGTTGAGAGACATAAGCCACAGATCCCTGTAAACTCAATGAGACAAACAGATGTCAAATAGATGTCAACACTGGACGGAATAAAAATGGAGAAAAGTCTTTCTTTCGGCTTTTCAATCTGTTTAGCAAGTCAAATCATCACATTGATACGATCGCTGCGCTAAGATCTCGAAAAAAAACCCTTAAGCGATCACAACGATTCAATCGAAACAGGTTAACAACGGTCGCTGCGATAGTCACGATATTTATCGCAAATAATCGGTACGATAGCTATCATGATAGTTCACATGCCTGAACATTTGTTCAGAAATCGAATTGTCTGGCTAATCAAAAGAAAAGGGCGAAAAATTCTCACCTGTACAGAAACTCGTCCTTGCAATTTCTCCGTTTCTCCAAGGATTGCAGAAAGAAGCGTTGATTTCCCGGCGCCAACCTGACCAACTATTGCAATAAGGGAGCCACTTGGAATCCTGAACGAAATCCTAAAACACAAGACCGACATTAAAATGATAGAATAAAACTAAGATGATCTAGGTATATCGTATTTGCTCTATTTTAGACCCTCCTTTCTCTCTTATTGAATCCTGTTGACCTGGATTAGAAGAAAGAGCGAATGAAATCAGCGGTTTCGAAGACTTTTGTGACAGCCGGTTTTATGGTCCCGCTTCGGGTTCACTAACCTCGGCACGCAATTCGTGCAGACTCACGAGGGCAATTTTCACAACTAAACTACTTATAATTACCCCTGTGTGCTAGCTATAGTACTTCCCTATTAAACCTATCCCTCCCCCTGGATTTTCATTGTCTTCTTCCTAGTTTCATCATCACCACATTCACCACGAGCCCCATCAAGACAACATTTTCATTTCTCCTCCTCCTCCTTCTCGACCACCACCACCACCACAATTTTATTGTTTCTCTCCACCATAACCACCACGTTTCCAGTAGTAATAGGGAGCTTAAGCAACGACGACGGCGACGGCAACTAGAACGGCAAAAAAAAGCAATGGGTTTATAGTAGCAAAACAAAAACTTCGCACGTGCATCACGCTTTTTTGTACATTTCTTTGCCGTCATTGCATGACTACAACGTGAAAGTGCCTAATTTCAGGTTTTGTCAAGGACGGAAACCTCAGACAACAACTTTCTTTTTCTTTTCCTGAACTTTGATACAGTCCTTTAGAATTCAACTCCAAACAATTTGCCAACATTTGATGAATTAAACGAGATGGAATAAGCGCGATAAAGTTTGAGGCAGCGTGAATTTACTTTTTAAGTGACGTTGTTGTAGCCGTCGCCGTCGTTGTTGCTTAAGCTCCCTATTGTCGTAGTGGGTGGTGAAAAGTGGTACTGGGTAGTGGTGGGTAGTGGTAGTGGCTAGTGGTAGTGGTGGCGGCTAGTGGCTAATGGTAGTGGTAGTAGTAGTATCAACATAATCCTCATCATCATCACCATCATCACTATCATCATAACCACCCCACGCAGCAAAAAAGAGGAAATAACGTGAATCAGGCAATGTGACCAACGTCGATCAGAAAGAACAAGAGAAGAGTAAAAAAAGAGAATAACAGAAAACAGTGAAGAAAAGAGTCTCCAGATTTTAGATCTGCAGGGGTTGGCATCTCTGTGATTATGTCGAAGTCCCGGGGGGATACTCCCCTATAAAAGTGACGGGGGTGCTCGTCATACCTTTTAGGGGTTTAAATTTGGGGATTGGTACCGCGTAGGGTGCTAAAACCGAAAATGACTGCTGCCAGAGTTGTCTCGGTACGGTTTATGACAATACTTTCCAAAAGTTCTTGGGAAGAAAGTGTTCAAAAGTCGTGTTTTCTACTATTAAAATTTGCAGTAAGGGTGGAAATGAATTTTAGACACGCCCATAAAACAAGATTCTGGTACCTTTTAGGGGTGTTGTCGAAATTTTCCGACGAGCACCCCTGTCCCTTTTATAGGAGAGTACCCCCCGCCCCGGGGTCGAAGTCTAACGTCTTACTAAGTTATTAGGGAGCTTAAGCAGCAGCGTTTTTGAGCGACGGAAGTCAACAAGTAGTGAACTCTTTGAATCATTGGGGAGTGGTTTGGTTGAAACTCTCGGGTAAATCCTCCTTATAAGAGAAAAGAAACTTAGCAACACAAATTTGTTAGCGTCAAGATATATATATGGTGAGAAGGCCTCACTTCCGGTTGATGTGCGTCGCTCAAAACGTCTTTACTTAAGCTCCCTAGTACATAGGTTAGCCTGTCTTCGTAATCGTTGGGTACTTGCCTTGTTTTATGTTAGTTTATTGTATTTATTGTATTGTAGTCATTAGTGTCTTTACTGTTATTCAGTCCATCTATGGATAAACCTTGTACTTGTAATATGTCTTCAGCTCCCCCCGCCTCGATTAGTTCATAAGCTATTTGCGGTTGGGAAAGTTTGAGAAAGTAATGTAATTAGTAATATATATTTATATATATTTATCCCATTTTCAATAAAATTTGTTGTTGTTGTTGTTGTTGTAAAGATGTGTAAGGTATGGGTAAGGAGTCAATTACGTTGAGCATGGAATTGGCTAAAACTCAATGTTACGAGTTCGAGTGTTTTGAGGATAATTATTCACTGACTATCAGCACGGAGGCCAGGATGTCGGATTAACATGCAGGGCTTTAAAACACAGCATCCGCCAACACAAACTTGACTTGAACTTACGTAAAACTAAACAGCCTCTGCCAATTATAACAAACTCTCACTTGAACGTCAGAAATCGTACCCTCGTCACACTTGACTAAACACAGCACTCCAGCTCTTGGAAAAAACTTGGTTCGTCAAAACAACACGCTTGGAACTTGACTATAACGTTTCACATAAGGTTAAAGAAAATCCTAAACAGGCTAATAGTAGTAGCCTTTCAACATATTTTATGATTTCAGTAACTGAATGATGCAAATCTGCTGACTTATGATCAACTGTAAACATGCCCTAATTAATTATTCATAATAATCCAAAAACGTAGAGGTCACGCAATTTTACAACGTCACATTCAAAAAAGACAAAACATCTTCCTGCAGCATTTTGTAACTTTAAATTCATCATAAGCTTACTCGTGAAATGTTTTCAACACTCGAGGAGAAATTTCGTGTCTCTGCGCGGCCATATAATATCCTCCATTTATTCCTCGAGTAAATTAGGGACTAAACTCAAAGTAATCTCAAGATATCTCGAAGTAATTCCGGTCTCATTTCGTGAAATAGCCGAAACAAGCCGAAAAGTCACGAACTTGCACTCCCAATCTTATCCCGATACTGGTGCATAATTTCATAGCTATTTTTCACGGCAAATTACCTTGGGTCTCAGTGGCGCAATCGGCTAATCCCTCAACATAGAGTCTCCTATGATCTGAAGGGTCTCACCGGTGAGTCGGTTCAAGCCACGGGCAAGCCAAAATAATACTTCCTCGAATAACAAAGAAATCGAAGTGATCTCCAGGTATCTCGAACTAATTCGGCCTTCACTTCGTCAAATTCCCGAATAAAACCGAAAACCTACAGACTTTGCATGCCCAATCTTGCCAAAAAAGTCAACTTTGATACATTCCTGAGCGACGCGAATCCTGTACTTCGCGCTCCGCCGAAGTAAAAAGCATAAGTGAGAACCAAAAATGAGAACACTGAGTGTAAAAACTTACTGGCGTAACACAGGCGCATCTTTCACGCTCCAAGCGAATGAAGCATTTTCTATGGCAACTGCAGAAGGGGAAACTGTACAAAAAATTAAAACACAATTTATAATTAATGCAAAAGACAGGGGGGAATAAACAGTTTCCACTTTGTTTGCGTTATGTTTAGGTCTTTCTTACTCTTATCACAGATGACCCCTTATCACATCGTTTAAACGCTAGACAGTTAGAAAAGTCATCATGTTGCTGAAGCAAAATGTATCATTTATTTATCTACTTATTAATCTATTTATTTGTTTATTCCCCATCAGGAAATTGAGTAATTTTAATTTTTATTGGACAAAAACCTTGTCACAGAATAATTTAAACAATATCGCATTCTTTTTTTACATTTTTCAAGGGCTATAGATGTAATTAGTTATCTGTAGTAACACCAATGTAAATTTCTTATCTTATTTTACATCTTACAAACGAAATTTTCAGAATTTTACCTGTGTTTTCACAATTCTTGTGAAGTTTGGCATTTATTTTCTCGGGCTCCCATGAGAAATAGTCGTTGGTGTTATTACAGATAACTAATTATATCTACAGCCTTTGAAAAATTTAAAAAAAGAATGCGATATTGTTTAAACTATTCTGGTACAAGGTTTTTGTCCACTGAAAATTTAAAAAACTCAATTTCCTGATAGATTCCGTCTTGAACGTGTACGTTTAACATTAATTCAGGAATTGACGCTTAAAATAAGCCTTACATTTTATTTTTTGAACATTGCTAGGGTCCAGTTCCTCACTATTCAGAAAATCCTGAAGCCTTTTAAGAGAAACTTTAGCCTGTCAAAAAACAAACAGTTGAAAATTGAGAAATATAAGAATAAGTAAATATTGCACTCAACTCAGTGACAACTACTGAAGCATTTAAGAATGTTACGTTTAAAAAGCTTAAAAGATACAAACAAAAAAAAAAACACTAACAACAAATCACAATCCATAAAAGCTACGGTAAAATTTTGCGACGTTGCCGCAAAACAAGTTGGAAAGCGATGTTGAGCGTTTTACCACCCACGTTCAAATCTGTCTTGCAACAAAGGAGGTTGTTTCAAGTTGCGTGCAGTGAATGCTGACTTTTGATGGATAAAATTAAGCGGAACTCAACCCTACACAAGAGTTACGTTGAGGTTGCTGTAAGAGAAGTTTTCCCTTAGGCCTATAAATCGCGCAAAATGTAGAGATTTTGTTGTAAGAGTACAATAATAATAATTATCCGCAACAAATTTTTGCAAGAACAACAACCTGATTCGTTACAAGACAGGTTTGATTCGCGGGTGATGAAACGCACGCAACATAGCTCATCAACTCGCTTTGCAGAAATGCTGCAAAACAAGTTGTACGTTTTAGGATAGTATGCCGGACCAAGAAACCGCAGAGAAAGAAACAGGAGCCTGGCAAGGATATAATACGGTTCTAGGAAACATTTTGTACAAGTGACAGGTAACTTGTGGCAAATGTGAAACAACCTCCCTTACGGGAAAAAAGCCACCACAATTTCAATCAACAAAGGAGAGAATATATTTACTTGGAGGTTACCTACCATAATTAAAGCCGAGATAATATCTGGAAAAGCCAGCAGAGGAACACTCATTACATTGATAAGTGACAAAGCATAAAATGCTTTGCTGGCTATTAGTTGTTGTCCAGTAAATACATAGACGATAAACGTGACGATGAAAATCTAAAACAACAGAGAAAAAGAAACGTTTACTGCATAGATATACTATGAATAGCATATCCATTGTACGCTGAATATGTGAGCTGTCGATATGACACGTTCCCAATTTCATATTAAGTAGATCCCAATACAAAGTCAGGCTTACAAAAGGGGATGCACGATATATATTGATCCATTAATGGAATACAGGAAATTATTATTCATTAAATTATTTCTTCGTTTGATTCTGATAGACTTATTCCGGCTAATTCCTTATAACCAGCTGGCGCTGACTAAATTTGCACGATGCGTGGAATATATCATCATTGACAGCAGTCTCTGGGACCGTCAGTGATTGTGCATTACAATGCACAATCATTGACGTCACTCTAGACAGCGGCGCGTCAGCTTGACTGTTTTGACATGTGTGCAGAAATCAAGAAAATGGCGAAAGAGTTAACAGCCACGCAGGCTGAGGAGGGCGTTAACCTTCTCGCGTGGAAAACGCCCCCCTCCATCTGCATAATTCTTCATATCACACGAAAGCCCAATTTAGTAATTGCCAATTGTAGGTGAGTAGGTAAGTAGTTGTTAGCATAATCCATTCAGAGGTTAGTATATACTAGTTTGCACGTGTATTTAATGTTATTTGTGTAAAGTAAAGGCTGTTTTAGTTATCATTCGCCGTGCAGATGCACGCTGAATAACATCCTGTTCGACCTGTATAATTCTTCAAAGTTATGAAAACATACGAGAGCCGAATAGCCTTTGAATGGAAGCGAGGCTTGCGGTGACTTTTTTTTGATAAAAATGTCAGAGTTCATTTATGCATAAGAGCACAATTTACATTTGAAACGAAGTGAGGTTTCTATCAAAACAAGGTCACCGCCAGCCTCGCTTCTATTCAAGGACAGGATAATCAGTACACACCAGTAAAATGGTCTATTTCAGTTTACTTTGTCGCTTACCAAAGTTGGAGCAGTGTTAAATAGAAATAGAAGCCCCGAAAACCAGAAACCCATATTTCTTAAAATCCTGAGCTCTTTGTTGCGTGTTTGCTTGATTTCTCTCATGAAGGACTGTTCCCATGCGTATAGCTTGAGGACCTATGATTCGAACAAGAAAAATTATATAAGAAATCAGGGCCGTAGCCAGACTTCATAACAAGAGGAGGCAAGTTTCGAGCGCCGAAGGCGTGAGCCGCTAGGGGGGTCTGGGGGCATGCCACCTCAGAAAATTTTGAAATCTAGAGGCTCAGAAATGCTCTGGTAAGCATTTCCCGTGGCATTTTTCTTCAGAAAAGTCAATCTTGGGCAAGTGTAGAAGTTCACTTTTTTGTTGCTTAGCGACACTGATGCCAAGTTAATGACCATCTGCATTTTAAAGCATTCAAAAGTTGTGACACGTATTACAACAATAAAATGAATCCACCAGAGTAGCCAACGTTTATGGAATTTATACTGTAAATAATTAGGAGAAGTCTTAGGTAACACTTTTTTTTGAAGTTAGCTCTAATAGATGATGTACAGAATCACGCTCACTTATCAATTATCTGTTTCGATACACTCTTGCTTATGTTCTTCAACTTTGAGATAGCCATGTCATAATATTGCCATCTCTTATACTTGTAGGACTAAGAAGCCACTAACTTTCATGATTAAGAGTAATAAACTTCTCCCTTAACAGTTAGTAAAGTGAAAGTTTTTTGCCCGTCGTTTATTCTGTACCGAAAGCTACGGGAATCCGTCTGTGGCCAGAGGCATCCCATCTCTTTAAAACAGAACTGCTGTCAATTTCCGTTGGTTCATGAATGTACGCTAAAGCAAGCCCGTTCAGCCTCCCATTAACCATGCTTGTTCGAGACCAGGTTTTAAGCCTTCTCAGTGAGCTGAAGTTTCTTCAAACAAAAAAAGGCCAAAATCAAGACGAGGCAACTGCCTCGTCTTGCCTCATGCTAGCTACGGCCCTGAAATCCGATCTGCATCGCTGATTCTTTAGTCACAAAGCAAATGGCAGCGGAGTCAACACGTACGCAAACGACAGAGAAACAAATAACCAAAAACAAAAGTAAGTAAGCAGCCATACCTTCATTCCCTTTAAAACTTCATTTATTAATTTTAGTCTTTCATCTTTTTTAGTCATTTGCTCACCCTGCAAATGAAAACATGAACATCAGTTGGCGTTCATGACCATAGTCTAAGACAGCAAAAATAACTCCTTGCCTCTTTTTAACCATAATTATTAAGAACGCAGGTTTCAGTAAGAGAATCTCTCACCAGGAATTTCAGTTATTCTGATTGAAATTAACGAAAGATAGCCTGGGACCAGCTCAGGCTCCGCAGAGGGGGAAAAATGCCAAAGGCCAAAGGCGAGCGAAGCGCCAGTCTGGGCAGTAGTCTGGCCGCCTTTCCCCCCTCCTCAGTCCACCACTCGGCTCGCTCCGCTCGATTCACCCCACTAGGGAGCCTGATCCCATGCTAGACAAGAAATATTGACAAACCAATGGGTCATTAGCCTGCGAATACCGTCGTCTCTCCTCGACGCTTGAAACCTTTCATAACCGAGAAGCTAAGCAGCTGCATCACCGTGTAGCTGTGGAGTCGCGTAGCCATGCAGCCGCGTAGCCGCGTAGCAGTGTAGTTGCGTGGCTGTGTATCCGCGCAGACGCGGCGTAGCCACGTACCGCATAGCCCGGTAGCAATAATAACGAAATAATGAATGCAAAGTTACCTGGAGAGCAAACATTCTACTTGAAAAAACTCCAAAGAGTGGCAGGGCAAGCAGCACAACCCCTATCCCTGCCAGAACAGAGATTCCAAGAGTGTTATAAAGCAAATACAAAGCAACACCGATCCGAAGTGGGCTTGACCAGAAGTTGTTGATGAATGTCATCACTCGCATCACACGCTGTGCATCCACTGACATCAGGTTTACAAGTTCTCCAGCAGTTGATTCTCCATGGGACTTGAATTTCACCATCAAAGCCTTAAATATTAAATTTATAAGGTAATAACATGGTCACTGTTGTTCCGTTTAACAGATATTTGGCATACTTTCTCAAGTAATTTGTTTAATCATTCGTTCAGCGATTTTGAGTTAATTTGTGTTCTTATAAGTATCTAGTCCACATTTCTTGATTCGCTCTTTAGTCTTTGTCGCTGTTAAAGTGGAAATCTAGGAGCATAACAGTCAAGGGAAACATCAGGACTCTCAGGAAAAAGAAAGTAACTATTTCCTCGGGAACTGACATCAAGTGCATTATATTCACCGGGGCCTTTATGAAGTTAGGATAACACTCTTTAAAAGTAAATTAAAAATCCTACTTCAACGGATCCTATAGAGTGTTTTCACTCACGTGGCCAGCAGCTATGCAAATTTATTGGAACAAAAGAAAGCGTTTGCATAAGAAAAGAGTTCAACTCCCACAGGATTGGTTTGGGACACCAACATGGCCGCCGTTTCATTGTTTTGGGACACCAATATGGCCGCCGTGACGTCATGTGAAAACACTCTATAGATTGAGGAGATATATACTACGGCTATTTATACCAGGAAAACATAAGATACGTCGAATTGAACAACGCCATTCGTACATAAGTAAGCCTTACGTAAGACTCAAAGATCAAGTAAGACCGCTTAGCGTCTAGTTCGAGTCTTATCTCTGGCTCCGGATCAGTTTTTAAGTCAATGTTGTCACTAGCAACGGGCAACGGTTCTGAGAAGTTCATCAGTCAAATTCCAGGAAAAATGATTAACCTCCAGGATATTCAAAAGGCAACATTGTAGGAACAGCACATATTCTACGGAAAGTCCTATGCATCAAGCGACAATGAAGATGGTTAGGACTTAGACAAAGCAACCCTCTAGTGCCCTAGATTCATGGTATGAACTCGGCCCTTGGAGAAGAGATACTGTCTACTTTTCATCGTCATAATAATGACAATGATGATGATAATGATAGCAATAGTGATATTAATACCCAGGCTTAGAAACTAAGGTATCAACATTAAAATTTATAAGCATCTTGATTACCTTTTCATAAACTAAGCCAATTAAAGCTGTGTTGATTCTCATACCGATTGTGTTCATCAGATAAACAAACTGCCCAAAAGCAAGAGACTGAATACATGAGGTCACCAGCATTGCTCCGGCATAGAGATAACCTTTCCATTCTTTCCATTCCCCAAACAAATCACTTTTGTGTTCACGATCAGTATATTCAACCAACAACCTATAAGGTAGTGCGTAGAAAATGTTGTAACCTGTAGTTTAATATATTATTCATTCAAATTATATTATATTATAGATTTAAACTGCGGCAGGATTAGCTAAGCCGGTAGAGCGCTTGACTGCAGAGCGGGAGGTCGCGGGTTCGATTCTCGGGACCAGACCAACACTCAGCGTCTTAAAATGACTGAGAAATGAAGGAACTGCCTTTCCACTGCAAATGGCTGGACCTTCGCGTCACTGGGATGACCATGTAAAATGGCGGCCCCGTCTCCAGTAGGAGACGTAAAAATAGGGTGCCCAGTTAGTACTTAAGTGCTAAATACATTGACACTCAAATAAAGTGTTTTTTTAAAATTATTATTATTATTATTCATTCATTCATTCATTCATTCAAAATATTTCGCAGTGTCTGATTGACTCCAATTCCCCCGTTAATTCTTCATAACCAACTGGTGCTTACCATAATTGGAAGATGTGAGCAATATACAATCGAATCAATGGTATATTTGTTTGGAAACGAGGTTGGTTGATAGTATATTTGCCTGGAAACGAGGCTGCTGGGGAAATAGTTAACTTTAAAAGTGGTGTTCACGGCTATCCGAAGACGAACTAGCTGAATTTCTTACTGCAACTTAACGGAAGAAATACAAAAATATGAAAAACATACTGCTCCACGGATCTACTTTTTGAGGAGTATCTGCCAGAAAAAAAACATCTGTTTGCTTTAAATCCTGAAACTGTGCGGAGAAATGCGCCAAAGTTTTGAAGAAGGTTTACGAGGAGGTAAGCTTGTTAAGAACTTAAAAATATTTTGAATGAATAACAATTCGGCCGAGGAGGATAACAGTCTCCGAGAAAAGCATTGTTCACATCATACACAGCCTCATATAATAATATTATTACATGTGTGTTGCCTGCCAGTTATTAAAGTGATTCCCCAGTAAAGGCGGAACCTAACACAGATTTGCATTCGAACTTGGTACACCGTTGTAGCAGGACATGATTATGATAGAAGTGTAAGAAAAAGAGGCGAGTGCAAAGCTAATCATTTTCACAACACAATACTGATGATAACAGCTATTTAGCAGGGGCGCTCAACGACTGTTTCCTGTCAAATATCTGTTCGGAGAAGTAAATATTATACCTGGAATCTTCTATTACTTGGAGACGGCTGAAAATTTCTAGATGACCGTTCCATTCATGTACAATTTTCGAAGCTTATCTAATAAATTCCCTATGATTTCCTGAAGTTTAATTTTTCACATTTCACTACCCGGGTTAAGCTATTTTTCGTAAAAAAAAGGAAATCTAAAATTTTCGGATTCAAAACTGCGACGGAGAGAGGAATCTGGAAAGTTATCACTTTCGTAATAGGTTAAATTGCTTCTAAAATTTTCGGGAAAATAATACTGAAATCCTTGTAATTTAGAAAAGACTAAAGTTCCCCTTGGATGACCGAACAGATATAAATTTTATAGCGTCCCTTAGAATGCATTTCTAGAGAACTTAAAGTACTCAAGATAGCCTTAAAAGCGGTACTTTCAATGTATTTACGCGGAGGAAACCGCCGTTGAGTGCCCCTGATTTAGGCAAAGTATAGCCGCGCACATTAGTAAGCCCAAACAAGACAAATAGACTTGCTGTTTTCAACTAATCTTGTGATCACACAGAGTTTGACTTTATATTCTATTGTTATTCACCAACCTACCAGAAAAAAATGCGTTTGAATGTACCCTTGTTTCCACTTCACGCTTTACAGAGCACGTAATTTGGTTATGTGCTGCTCAACTCGTTGTTGCGGAGGGTGAGTAGAAAACGAATCGAAGACCTAAGACCTAAGACCATAAAACGAAGACCCCCCTAAAAATCACTTATCTAGAAACGGGTATTTCGACCTTAGATGTGTAAGAAACAACAAGATCTTCAATTATAAAAAATTTCGACCAGGGTCTTCGTTTTCTACATAATCCCCTCCCCCTCCCCCCTGTGTGTACAAAACGAAGACCCCCCTCAAAATCACTTGGAAACGGCTGAAATTCGACCTGGGTCTTCGTGTGAGTTTTCTTCGGAATCATCCTTTGCTGTAAAGTGTTCGAAGTCATGTCTTCCGCCGTGATCGCCATCAAAATGTCCCATTCCATGACATTAAAATCGTCAGGAGTCGTGTTGATTCTTACACTCCTTTAGTGTCTAGAAGTCGTAAAAGCAGTTTCCAGCCGTTTCCAAGTGATTTTGACCGAGGGGGGTCTTCGTTTTCCACGCACCGGGGGGATTATGTAGAAAACGAAGACCCTGATCGAAATTTTGTATGATTGAAGATATTATTGTTTCTTACACATCTATGGTCGAGCTACCCGTTTCTAGATATTATTAAGTGATTTTGAGGGGGATCTTCTTTTTTGGGTCTTAGCTTTTAGGCCTTCGTTTTCTACTCACCATTGTAGCGGATTCCCTACAGCTTAGGCTGCTTAGGGAAACTGCCAAAAACAAAACTGGCAACAGATTTCTGCCCATTATTTTGTCACTAAACGGGCACAACTTTCGTATTAAAATCATGGAAAATAATTAATGTGGATCACCACTTTAAATTGACTGTAACTGACTGTAATTACACCGTACCTTAGCAACTGAGGCTGAACAAAAACCAGCAGATCATTTAAGAGCTGGAACATAACAGCTTTTGCAAAGTCTACTCCAAATAATCCACTCCAAAGAGTCTTTGCGAGAGAGGGATTTCTTTCTTTTATCTTTTTTCCCCTCTTCTTCTTTTGCTTGTCACCTTCATCGGCTAACAATCTGTCTGTTTCTTTGCAATAATTTTCTTCATTATTGCCATCTTTTTCTTCAGTTTCCTTTGCTTTCCTTCAAACCAATAAGTACCATATGGGTTATTCAAAACATTTAACATTTAATAGCAGGCAGCGTGGCCTGGTGGTAAGAGCGTCGGACTCGCAACCCGATGGTCACGGGTTCGAGTCCCGCTCTGACTACTTGCTGGATTTATTCTCAGTCGTTCCGAGTTCGTTTCCTCGGCCATGCTTGTATATATAGCCAACTGGTTGTCTCCTGCCAGTTGGGTTATTTAATCTGTCATGTTGCATTTGATTTATTTGTTTCTAAGCATTTGAGTGGTGTGCCTGTGAACTAGCTGCATAAGCTAAGTGCACTTTCCACTATAACCAAACCAGGGGCGGATCTAGGGGGAGGGTGAAGGGGGTGCACCCCCCACCTGAGATGACCTAGGGTTCTCTAATACAACTGGTATTCTGCCAAAAAAAACTATGTGGTTTATTGGTGTTGAAGTAGAGCAAGAGACGAGTGCACCCCCTCCTAAAAAAAATCCTGGATCCGCCCCTGCAAACCGTTTACATGTAAACCTTTTTCTTTAAACATACCCATTGTATTACAACAGCAAGATTGTACCTTGTTGGTACTTAATATCACGGTTCTTTAATTTCGCGTTTTTCGCAATTCAGATTGTAAAAAATAGCGAAATTAAAGACGCGAATTTAAATTCTCGCGAAAATGATTTGAACACGGGAAAATTCACTGAAACGAAATGATTAACCTGGGACGGTTCCATATCTTAGACTATTTTATGCCTTTCTGCCTCAACCATTCGCTCAAAAAACTTGTCTTTTCCTTCGAACTCTTCAAACAATGCACTGATTGTTTTTCCTCCACGTGCGAACTGATCACCATGGCAGGAAGCAAATTCTTAGATGGTGCAGTTCTCTCTGTTGTTGAGACAATACAGAAAACCCTGAGAATGAGGTTGTGACGATGCAAATGCAAAACGTACTGTGGGGTAGGGGGGTGATTGAGCGAAAACCACACCTATCTTTTTAAAGCATATGTATTAAAAATATTCTTTATCGAAATATCATCATAGCTGCCTAAATAGACATATTTGTAAGTAAAATATTGAAAAAGGCCAGCCCGAAAAATTCGCGGGGAAGAGCACACTTGGAATTCACTGAGCCATATACTAGTATCAGTAGCCTAAATCTCCAAAATTGCAGCCCTCATTTACTGTAGGTTTACACCAGATGATTAGTTCCACATTCCACATTCCATAAGTGCAAAGAAAGAGGGAGGAGTAGGCTGTGAGAGCTCAGAATTTGAGAAGGTAATTTGCTTTAATGATCAGATAGCTCCAGGGTTTTCCTAGGAACCAACTATTCCAGGTAATGAATTCATGATAACTGTCATGAATACAGAAACAATTCCTGCCCAGTTAAAACTCTAGATTCATTACCACGAATATAGAAACAATAGTACACAAACTACAGCAACTGCACTGTACCGTTGCTACTGTAGATTAAACTAGGGATTTAACTGGGCATGAATGGTTTCTATATTCGTGATGGTTATCATGAAGCTATTACCGTTTTTCAAATGGTGTATTCTGTTTATGTCTGCTGCTCGATTGCTCCGCTTGCTCTGCAGCAATCATTAAAACAAGGGCAAAGTATTATACACCTCATTTCATGTCCCTGACCAGTCCTAAGAAAAAACTGCAACCTAATACTGAGAAATCCTCTTTTGTTCATTCTCTTTAGGTTCATAAAATACAGATACCATGCTTATAGCTACAAACATAAACATAACTATCCACTCTTTCCACCCTTCTGTGTTCATGTTAGGGAGGACAGCATTTATTGCTTGGAGGGTAATTATAATATGAGAAGAACATGCTCTGCTGAATAATGAGACTAAACAGTGATTACAGTTAATAATTTTCTTACAATCTCCTGCATTTCCTTTGTTGTTCAAGCCATTTGTTCTTCAGTCTTGGTACAATATAAGAGGCTTGGTCCTCTCTTCTTAATGCCCACAAATCTTTATCTTCCAAGGGTCTTTTATAACCAGTGTTAATTATCCTGTGATGCACATCATTGATGCAAAAAAAAAAGTTTAATTTGTTAAAACAGGTACTTTTTGGATTACAAATACAGATAAGATTTACTCAGTCAGAGGTACTTATATGACAGAGTTCAATTTGGAATTTATTTACATGTCATGAGTGCTTGTCAAAGAAGTATCAAAATTGCATGAGCTCATAGGGTTAGTAATGTAAAAGAGCAAACATGAATGTAATATTAATTATTAATTTTTAGTGTCTAGAAAAGTGCTGAAAGGATGCACAACTTTTTTGACAGCTAAAATTATAACAGAAGTTGGAAGACTACTAAACAGCTCTAGTAATAAACCAGGAATGTGTCTGATGTACATTCAAAGACGAAATGTCCAGCAGGATAAGCAGCTAGATTGAGAAATATGTTCAATGTAGATGCTACAAAATGAAAATGTATAATGTCATATAATTTTTTAATTTAAAATTGACAAGTTGGTAAAAAGAATTCAACTTTGAATATTTTCTCACCAGTTTAACCACCAGAAAGTAAGTAAAGAAAAGTAGTTGGCTTTTTCCTGAGGATTTTGCACCTATAGCGATAAAAGCAGAGACAAATTTATTGCATCAGTTACTGATAACATAATAATAAAAATTTTTACAGCTAAAATAAGCATAACAGCTTTCTGGTCTCCCCCATGGTCTTTCTGTATTTTTGGCTTTGTACAACTTCAGACCTTTTCCAAAAATGAATACTGCAAAACAACAGGGGTACAGTTATCACCTGTATTTTTAAAACAGTCACACACAGCCTGGGGGGGGGGGGGTACTCCCTACAAGGGTCTATACAGGGAGGCTCTGCCTGAAAGGTTCTAGCCAGTATATAAAAGCTGGCAGGGATTTCCCAAGTTGAAGGATAGGAAAAGGAAGGAAACCCTGCTATTTTCCATTTTTTTTGCTATTCTTATTCTTTGCTAGGCAGTTAAATTATGTTTTTCTCTCATTAATTTTTATTTACCTTTCATTTTATGATTTATTATTGAGAGCCCTAAAGTAAAACACTTTGCATGATGTTGTCATCCCCAATAAAGATTTTCTTATTATTACATTATCAACTGCAAAGTTCCCATGGTTACACACTGCAGTATTCTTACCCGTTTCCCTTGGTCCTGCTTAACACTTCTAACTGAAGCCCAAAAATCATCAGTGGAAAATTGTGATCGTGCTGTCTCGTAGGAGGCAAAATGGCTTGAGCTGCTCGCCAAAAACTGATATGGCTTTTCTGCACCACGGAATTCCATGATTGTACTAATTAATAAGATAGAAGATATATATCTTTTCTTTGTATGGAAAATGGAATTAATGATTATTAGACTGTATAGCACTGTTACTTAAGCTGCCAATTAATAATCAGTAGTGACAGCAGCCATTTTGCTTCTGATCGTATAAAGCAGAACATCCTTAGTAGCAGTTTACATCTTTCAAATATGGTAAGTAACTGATGATTATTAAGAATCAGCCTGCGGATAGGAGCCAATCAGTACTGGCAAAATATTTTGAATAAAATAATAAGTAATAATTATAATTTGAAGTAGATGTAGATAGAGTAAAACAAAAGTTAAAAGCAAAAGTGAAGTATATTATTTGCAATTAAATCAATTTTAAAATAAGTTAAGATTATCACCTTAACCTACGATCAGACGGTGCTTCTTCCTTTTTGTTTGGGAGACGAGGGGGAAAACGCCTGATCGCAGGTTTTAGTGTCACCCCTGATCGAGGTACGGGTGCTGGCTAATTAGACTTAAAATACTACCCTAACATCAAACCTGAGGAAAGTGAACGCTGCTGTGGTAAGATTTCAAAAGGTCCGGCAGCAAATGATTTTATACGTCGCCCCATCGTGCAAGTCTCGTGAGAAAGTGAGTGATTAGGAGGATTGGAATAAGACAAGTCACAAGTCTCCTGTCCGCTGATCTTCGACTGATCCAACACTTGGGCGCATGAAAGACTGGAACCCAGTTTAAGAATGGCGGCCCTCGCATTGAGTAGCTTATCGAGAAAGAGACTTCTAAAAATGCTGTTTAATCTTCAGTACATTAGAAAATTCATATCCACAGAACCACGTTGGAGTAAAATGGTGCCAACACGAGCAGTAAGCTCGCTGATCACACAGTTTCATCACCCGATCACGTTGAGAGAGAAGAACTCACTCAAAAATCAGATGGCGTACTTCCACTCGTCTGAAATATTGTGCGGACGAGAAATTGTCAAACGGGCCCAGAAACTAGAGAAATCCAGAGAAAGATCGGCAGAACTGCTGAAGGCTTTGCGTAAAAAACGTTTGGAAGGACTTACGAATCCCCAACCTCACATGACAGCTGAAGAGAAAGTATTGAAGAGAATACATTGGCTACCCTCGATAAAGAAGCTTCTTATTTTTTATTGGGTCCAGATCAAATCAAAGAGTGAGTTGACACCAGTTCAAAAATTCGCTATTCTCGAATGTATCGCCAAATATTTCTCTAAAGAGACTCAAATGAGAGATGTGTTCCTGGTACAAGAGATGCAGCAGAGATTTTTTCAAATGCTGGTTCAGGATATCAGAGCAAACCTTGATGCTTATGATGCACATCAGCTGTACAAAATTGTGCTTTATATGGCGAAATTGTGTGTGACAGATCCTGTGATATATAAGCAACTTGAAAAAGGACTCTTGTTTTGGAGTCTTGGGGATTTTTCGACCAAAGAACTATCACAAATGTGTTGGGCATTTGCAAAATACCATCCAGATGTAGATGAAATCTTCCATGCCTTGAACAGTGAGACTTTCTCAAGAGATCTTTCTAACTTTACTTCTGCAGAATTGTGCTCAATAGTTTGGTCTTTTGCTGAGTATGGTGTTCCAGACACCCGCCAATTCTACAGAGCACTGGGTAACGAGATTTTAACCCGTGATCTTAGTCAGTTTCAGCCATGGATGCTTGCTTCATTAGCATTTGCTTATTCAAATGTAGAATCACTGAGTAACAAAGTACTTAAAATGGTAGAAGAAGAGCTATTTCAGCGTGGTGAACTGAAACCTTTCAGTACAAATGATTTAGTTATGATGGTCCTGGCATTTTCAAGAACCAAAAAACTTAGTGCTAAACTATTCCGTAAATTGGAGGTAGTCATGGTGAAAAGGAGAGACTACACAGAGACGGTCACCAAAGAATATTTGCAAGAGATGTATGATCTGTTAAAAGACAGCAAATTTCGCTTAGCAGAGATTAAAAAGATTGTTGAGCGATTGTTATACCCTGATAAGATCAACTCCATATTTGACGTGCTCTACCGGCCTCGCAGAGCATGGAAGGAGAAGGTATTACACCAGTCCTTGTTCAAAGCTTACTAGGCTTGAGTCTTCACATGCCTTGAAAAGAGGCTGGAATGGTGTAAACATTTGTATGTGACATTGTAAACAGCAAACTAGTTTAGTTATTTTACAGTTCTCCATCTCAAAATTCCAATTAGCAGCAAGTTCATCCCTGATTTTTTTTTCTTTTAAAGTTTGATCAGCGATATACATTATAGTAGTCTTAAAAGTTGATTAACAGCTACCATGATCACATAGGAAACAGAGTATTGAGAAATTAAACTTGGTTTCCTGTGATTAAAGCCATTTTATACTGTCTCTTTTTGATATGAACTCAAGCAGTGAAATTTCACGAAAATTTGGATCAATTCAAGTAGAGTTTGCTCATGAACAAAAATTAGGGGGTGATTACTCTTCATTCTTTAAGCCAAGTACGTGAAACCACCTAGACCTCGACCGAATAAACTTGTATCGAAACAACTTGTATCAAAACAACTTTGTGTTGAAACAAATGGTAACCAAACTAGGCATTTATCAAAGGGCTCTGTTAAGCTTGGTAATCAATTCCAAACTGTTGGTTATCCTTAATTGTGTAAAAATTTGCTCAAGGGAGTTATCCATAGCAACTGTTTATGGTCAAGTCAACTGAAGAACATCTCACTTAAAGTTTTGTCACCCAAGTTATTTATTTAAGGCAGTTGCCTTACATGGTTATGGTGTCACTGTCTATATTTCCTTATTTCCAGGTTTATAAGGAATGTACCAGATTTTTTGAAAGAGTTCACTTTTCAGCATAAAACAATTAAACATGGTCATTTAATGCCAAATTCTATGAAAAAGAAAATTCGGCAAAAGGCAATTTTTAGGTTTTTCTTATTGAGAACAACAAGAAAAGGAACCTTCAGCAAAAGTACATTTTGATCTCTAGCGGGTCACATATCCTCAGGTGACATGTAAATTCAGGCAACTTGACTGGCTGTGATAGCAAACCAGTGAATGATACCCACCCTTCATGACATCACATTCATACCCAAAATTTTCCAACAAATGGATTTTTTTGCAACTCTTGCAATTAATGACCAACTTACTTTGTAAAAATTCTGGGACCAGGGGCCGATTTAATAAAACTTTTACAAGTGTAATTTATAAGTCTGGCTATTGCTTTCATACTCTAAAACAATATTCCTGGGTGTAACCCTTTTATGCACCTGGGGTCAATTTAAAAACCTTTTACAAGTGTAATTTACCATTATTGTAAATTACACTTGTAAAAGTTTTATTAAATTGACCCCAGGGGTGTAAAAGGGTTATACTCTGGAATAAGGGCTAACGTCAGCTCTTCAGTCAGGTGTAAAAATTTACATCCGTTGCACATGTTTAAACTTTAGCAAAAGTCAAACGTTAGATCTAATAATAAAAAAGCTTTAGTTATGCTGGAGATATGGTCTTAACAAGATTTCCAGTAAATAAAATTTATAATAATATTATTCTAAATTACATTTCAAAGACGCTAAAAACTGCTAAGATAAGACTGCTAAAAACCGTTGATTTAAGAACTACTAAAAATTAATTAAAGATACTCAGAACCACTAAAAACTATTAAAAACACAAAAAATATCCACCCAGTTACACTGTACAGCTATGATTACTAATGTCACTGTCTCTCCGTTGTTTAAAAATGTTAAATTTAAAAGAGCCTATACTAGTTGTTTTCCTAAGTTCTGTAGGGAGTGAGTTCCAATCACTTGCACCAGCAATTTGGAAAGTCTTTCTTTCTGAAGAGGTCCTAGATTGTGGAACGTAGAGAGTGCCTTGGTTCCGCAGATTTCTGTTTTGGAGCTCAGCCCTACTGGTTAGGTAACCCTCTAGTTGCTTAGGGCAGTTTTGGTTGTTTAAAATCTTAAAAATAAAAACAAATCTGAGGAATCGTCTCCTATTGTACAGTGTTAACAGCCCTACAGTGTTCCTCATATAATGTGTGCAGGTGGTTCTGTTGGCCCCCAGAATAACCCTCATGGTTTGGTTTTGAAGTCGTTTGAGTTTATCTGATAGGGACTTATTACATTCATGCCATACGATGCATCCATATTCGATCACTGGGAGGATTGTTTGTTTGTAGATCCTCAGAAGTATCTTTGTATCTAGAAAGCCAGCAAGTCTGTTTAAGAGTGCTATTACTAACAAACTTTGTCATATGGTCAGCTTTATTTACCCCGTTTAACACCTTATACACTCAACATGCTTTGCAAATCTCAACCTCTTGTGGCTGTTAATACTCGAGACACCGTGAACGTCTGCTTATAAGCTCTGGGGTTATACAACAGGGGCACCCAACGACCGTTTTCTGTAAAATATCTGTTCGGAGAAGCAAATATTACCTAGAATTTTCTTTTGCTTGAAGACGACTAAAAATTTCTGGATGAACGTTCCATTCATGTACAATTTTCGAGGGTTATCTAATAAATTCCCTACGATTCTCTGAAGTTTAATTTTTCATATTTTACTACCCAGGTTACACTATTTTTCTTAGAAAAAGGAAGCCTAAAATTTTCGGATTCTAAAAGTTAAATTGCACAAAATTTTCGGAAAAATAATACTGAAGCCGTTGTAATTTCGAAAAGACTTGAGTTGCCCTAGCTAAGGATGACCGAACAGATAAAAATTTTGTAACGTCGCTTAGAATGCATTTCTAGAAAACTAAAAGTACTCTGGATAGCCTAAAAAGTGTTTTCAACGTATTTTGGAGGAAACCGTCGTTGGGTGCCCCAGATACAACTTCGTAAAAGGTTTTAGGAGGACTTTTTAATTTAAACCGGGGAGTGCATAAAACCGCCCTAAAAAGGCGTTTCAAGACAAGCAACATAGCAGTGCTGATCAAAATACTTTTTGAATTTACTCGCTGTTTTGAGCTCCAAAACGTCGTAAGAAAATCGAATTCATTTCAATACAAGCTGGAGAAGAGCTTACTTATAACCGCCGGATGTATATTTTTGTTTACAGCTAGATGAGCTTAGCTATAACTGGGGGGAGAGGGGAGGAAGGGAAGCTAATAACGGAAGTTGAATTACGGCATACAGAACAAATGGCACTAGAACGTTCTGTACTGTGTTCGTTATTCCGGCCTCCACGGATACAGAATCTGTGCCATAAATATCCAAAAGGTATCGCCTTTTATTAGCTTCCTCTAAGAGATCATTTCCACTTTAACTTGACATCAACCGCTCGTGAATTGACTGAAACTAACACGTCCATACGTATCCGGCTATTTTTGAAAAACGGAGATTTTTTCTTCCAGTTTAACCTCCTGTTCACACATAAACGGTGTTTAAGGCGTTTGGGCACCAAAAACGCGGGTTTTCAAAAAAGGGTCCTCGGAGTGGAGATTTTTGAAAACGCCGGCTTGTCGTTTACGATTGGACGGACGAAAACAGAGGATTTGGGAAAGGATTTTGCCATATATCATATACTGCTAGTATTACGTATGTTCTGTAAGGGATGCTATCGTACTATCCTACTTCCGGCGTTTTAGCGTCTGTAGAGTTTTCATGTGGACGAGCGAAAACGATTCGAATACGCCGCGCTACGTCTGGCAGCTTTTTTCCTTGCTTTTTGAAAACGGAAAAAA